CCATATCCTCCGCCAGATTTATCCTCCAGATCTTCCGCAGGATCTTCCGCCAGATTTTCCGCTAGATTTTCCGTCAGATCTTTCGCCAGATCTTCCGCCAGATCTTCCTCCCTCAGATATTTCCGCAACTATTCCAGAAACATTCTTCCAGATTTATCGGCTTGCAACCGCGTCAAGTCTTCCTTTGGACACTCCCCAGATCTCTGGACTGATTTTTCCCAGATCTTCCTCCTGCTGTTCCAGGGTGTTCCTTGTTTTGTTTCATGCCGCGTCGCGGGTCCGCTTCTTGTTTTTGAAATTTCTAGTTTTGTTGTCTGCCTTGCTTCGGGACTGCAATCTCTACTGGGCAACCTAGAATGTCAATTTCCTTATTTGTTTGGGGAAACACCTCCCTGGAATGATGATGCTTATAGTGATGAAGATTCTGCTGATGATGGTGATGGTGATGGTGACGGTGGTAGTGATGAAGATGCTGATGCTGACAATCATGATTATTCTGTTGATGATAAGGATGATTATGATATTGATAGTGGCGATGATAATGATGATGATGATGATGATGCTGATGATGATGATGATGATGATGATGATGATGATGATGATGATGATGATGATGCTGATGCTGATGCTGATGACGATACTGATGATGCTGCTGATGAGGATGATGATGATGATGATGTTGGTGATGATGATGCTGCTGATGATGATGATGATGATGATGATGATCATGCTCATGCTGATGCTGGTGATGGTGTTGGTGGTAATTAGTGCTGATGATGATGATGGTGATGGTGATGGTGATGGGGGATGATGCCAGGAATGATTAGCAGTGAGTGGAGACACAACTGAGTTCAAAGCTCCTTCTGGACCCTCACTTCCATTTTGAACCATCCTTTCAAACTATCCTCGGAGCCCCTCCAGATCTCCTCTTAATCTGGCTGATTCGGCGCTTCCCACCTCGGCCTCCTCCTGCTCCAGTGTCTCCCCCACTGCTCATGGTGTTGCTTATGCTGCAGCTGATGTTGCTCACTGCCCTCGTAGAGCTGGATCCAGCTCTGATAGCATCCCATCAGAGCTGGATCCAGTTCTAATAGTATCCTAGTAGAGCTGGATTCTGCTCTACTAGAGTCCTGAGCTGGATCCAGTTCTAGTGCAATCTTTTTAGAGCTGGATCCAGTTCTAATAGACCTATGACTCTTATTTGAGCTAGATCCAGCTCTAATGGAGGCGTGTAAGAGCTGGATCCAGCCCTACTTAAAACCTGCTAAAGCTGGATCTTTTCTCAGCAGAAAGTCCGTTAGAGCCATAGGAGGATGGAGGCTTTTGAAAGTGTTCTGTTGATTTCCAGCTGGAATCCACAGAACAGACACAAAAGGCAGCATTCCTTTTCTTTGTTGATGCTGAAGGGTTGCGTTGCGTTGCGTTGCGTTTCGCGGTTGGGGGTATGTGCCCCCAGTCCGGGTGTTCACCCTAATAGACAACACGTGGACAGGGGTCCCACAGCACCGGAGGTGGACCGGGTGTCATTGTTGTTGTTGTTGTTGTTGTTGTTGTTGTTGTTGTTGTGGTTGTGGTTGTTGTTGTTGTTGTTGCTGTCGTCGTTGTTGTCGTTGTCTTTGTCGTTGTCATTTTCGTTGTTGTTGTTGCTGTTGTTCCTTTCGTCGTTGTCGTTGTCGTTGTCGTTTTCGTTTTCGTTGTAGTTGTCGTTGTCGTTGTCGTTGTTGTTGTCGTTGTTGTTGTTTATTTTGTTTTTGTTGTTGATTTCGTTTTCGTTTTCCTTTTCGTTGTCGTTGTTGTAGTTGTTGTAGTTGGTGTTGTTGTTGTTTTTGAAATTGTAGTCGTAGTAATTGTATTGGTAGTAGTAGTAGTAGTAGTAGTAGTAGTAGTAGTAGTTGTAGTTGTAGTTGTGTAGTAGTCGTAGTAGTAGTAGTAGTAGTAGTAGTAGTAGTAGTAGTAGTCGTAGTAGTAGTAGTCGTAGTAGTAGTAGTAGTAGTAGTAGTAGTAGTAGTAGTAGTAGTCGTAATAGTAGTCGTAGTAGTAGTAGTAGTAGTAGTAGTAGTAGTAGTTGTTGTTGTTGTTGATGCTGTCGTTGTTGTTGTTGTTGTTGTTGTTGTTGTTGTTGTTGTTGTTGTTCTTGTTGTTGTTATTGTTGGTGTTATTGTTCTCGTTGTTGTTGTTGTTGCTGTTGTTGAACTTCCACTACTGTAGAATAAATAGTGTTGATTCCCCTCCGGGGCACATCGTATTTATTCAATTGAAGTGCCCTTCCCATGGCTCGCACCCTGTTTTTGGCAGGGCAAGTTTTGGTTCTCAGAATTGGGCCCCTGGCCCCCGAGTTACAACAACACCGGCTCCCGTCTGATATTTCGTCACAACTTATTCCCCAATCGTGCTCTCGCGCGGGACGTCCTCACAATTTATGCAGAAATCGCGCTCTCGCGTTGGACTACTTCGCAATTCATTCAGACGCCGCGCCCTCGACACTCAGGAATCACGCTCTCGCTGTGGATGTCCTCACGATTTACTTGGGAATCGCGCTATCGCTCGAGACTCGCGATTCATGCAGGACGCACGCTTCAGCAACCAGCCTGCTCGACCTGGCCGCCTGGGCACGCCTTCCCTACCCGCCCGTTCGGGTCTACCCGCCCGATCTGCCCGTCTCGTTATGCCACGCGTTTTCTGCTCCTAGCCCCCCTCCTGCTACTCTCTCTTGTGCTCCATCCTCCTCCCTTCCTCTTTGTCCCTTTCTTCCATCCGTTCTCTGTTTCCCTGCCGTAGGGGCTGCATGAAATACACGCTGCAGGTAAGACAGATCTATACCCCAAAGGGGGTACGATCAAAGACGAAGAGGGCGGGTATCGAGGGGTTGGGATATACGTGTTGGCTAGCACGCGAGCAGATAAGAGCGAACTGTCTTGACATGATTACTGTTGTGATTGTTGTTGTGGTTATGGTTTTTGGCTTGTGGTTGTGGTTGTGGTTGTTGTTGCTTGTTAATTACTAAAGAGTTATTATTGTTTGACACCCCCCAGGCGCTTTGACGCTCTCGCTTCGGCGCCGGCTACATTCTCATTGAAAATGAGGCTCACGCTCGAGCGGCTTGTGGGGGCGCCAACACGGGCCCCCCAACAACAACAACGCTCCCGCTCGAGACATCCTCTCCTTTTTTACTCAGGGCCGGTGCTATTGCTCGCCTCCGAAAGCCGCCGTCCCAACAAAACCAGCACTACGGCTCGAGACTTCCTCCCGTTTTACTTTGGACTTGCACGCTACTCTTTCTCTCATCGGCGCCGCCCCCAGCAACAACAACGCTCCCGCTCGAGACTTCCTCCCTTTTTTACTCAAGGCGGTGCTCCTCCTCGCCGCCGAAAACCGCCATCCCGACAAAACCAGCGCTCCCGCCCGAGACTTTCTCCCGTTTTACGCTGGATAATATTCTCTTTTGAATTGGCGCCGCTCCCAGCAAGAACAACGCTCCCGCTCGAGGCTTCCTCCCCTTTTCCTCAGGACGGTGCTGTTCCTCGCCGCCGACAGCCCCCGTCCCGACAAAACCACGGCTCCCGCTCGAGACTTCCTCCGTTCTTGCTCAAGGCGGTGTTCCTCCTCGCCGCCGACAACCGCCGTCCCAGCAAAACCAGCGTTCCCGCTCGAGACTTCGTTTTGTTTTACGCTGGACTAGCGCCCTACTCTTTTCAGCATTGGCGCCGCTCCCAGCAGCAATAGCGGCCCTGCTAGAGACTTCCTCCCTTTCTATTCAGGGCCAGGTCCTTGCCTCGCCGCCGACAGCCCTCACCCCCACCAAGGCAACCCTGTCGCTCGATGCTTTCTTGTGCTTGACCCTTGGCTGGGGCTCCACTGGCGGTCTTGCATCTGCGCAGCAAGGCGCGGGCATGCGTCTTCGAGGCGGGATATGTTGAAATTCCTCTGGGGAGGTGTTTGCAAGACCTCATTGGGCTGGAGATCTGGGAATGGGAATAACGGACCCCGCTATAGAAAAATAATTCCCCATGATGTGGATGGTTATCATGATGGTCGCATGCTTCGTGTGGAAGCATCGCGCATGAGGGTAAACTAATTATTGTTGCTGTTGCTGCTATTGTTGTTGTTGTTGTTGCTGTTGTTGTTGTTGTTGTTGTTGTTGTTGTTGTGGTTGTGGTTGTGGTTGTTGTTGTTGTTGTTGTTGTTGTTGTGGTTGTGGTTGTGGTTGTGGTTGTGGTTGTTGTTGTGGTTGTGGTTGTGGTTGTGATTGTTGTTGTTATTGTTGTTCTTGTTGTTCTGATTGTTGTTGTTGTTGTTGTTGTTGTTGTTGTTGTTGTTGTTGTTGTTTCTGTCTCATGGCGAAATGATAATTCTGGTTGATGCCCCCACCTGTGCACATTGCGTTTTTCAGTTAAAGTCCTTCACCTGAGGCTCGCATTTGCTATTCACCAGAGAAGATCTTGCGGCTTAGATTGGGCCCCTGGCCCCCGAACTACAACAATAACGGCTCCCGCCTGACACTTCCCCACAGTGTTACTTCAAAGTCGCGCTCTCGCGCTGGATGTCTTCACAATGTATGCAGAAATCGCGCTCTCGCGTGGTACTTTCTCGCACTGTATTGCGGCGCCGTGCCCCCCAAACGCAGGAGTGTCACGCTCTCGCTTTGGATTTCCTGATGATTTACTTGCGGAGCGCTCTATGGCTCGAGACTTTCGCTTTCATGTAGGACTGACTCTTCTGCGACCCGCCCGTTCGACCCAACCGTCTGGTGCTGGTGCTGGTGGTGATGATTGTGGGGTGCTTGTGTAGGAGGTGGTGGTGGTGGTGATGACGACTCTGCTGCTGGTACTGGTGACGATGGTGATGATAGGGAGGAGGCGAGGAGGCGAGGAGGCGCGAGGTCCGCGGCCCTCGCACGTCGCCGCGCTCGGCACCGCTCGAGCCGAAGCCGAAGGCCCGAAGCTCGCCCGCGCGCCCGCGCGCGCTCGTGCTCACGGGCCCTCGGCGGCGCGGGTGCGGCCATGGTGACGGCGCCCCTCTGCGCGGAGCTCGGCGCAGGCTGCCGCGGCCGCCGCCGCTCCTCGTGCCGTCGAGGCGGCTCGGCTGGTTGCCAGAGGTGCCCCCCTGGCCCGAGGTGCACCCCCAGGCCTCGGGTGCCGTTCTGGAGCTCCATGGGAATCCTGGGGGCATTTTGGGCCAGGGGCACCTTTTGCAGCACCCGGGGTGGTGATGAGGGTGGTCGTTGTCGTCGTCGTTCGAGCCTCGAGGTTCGAGGGTCGTTTTCTGGGCGTTCGTGTTTTTCATCAAGCGTCCGGGAGGCTCCTCGTCCTTCCCCATTCCTCCACCTCCTCCTCCTCCTCCTCTTCCTCCTCTCAATTCTACCCTCCCTTCTCCTCTCCGGAGCCCTCCTCCTTCTCCTTCCCTCCCTCCCACGTTGTCGTCCTGCTCCTCTACCTCCTCTCCTTCTCTTCTGGCTCCCCTCCATGCCTCACTCCTCCTTCTCTTCCTCCTCCTTCTTCTCTCTCTCTCTCTTTCTCTCTCTGTTCTCCTCCGATTTTCCTCCTCGGTGTGTCCTCCGCCACACGTCCTCTGTATCCTCCCCGTTTATCTTCCTCTTCTCCCTACGCATCCTCCTACCTGTTCATATGCTGATCCTCCCGACCTTCTTTGTGCCAGAGTGGGTACGACAGGAATGTTTTCCGTGAGCCGCGAGGCCTTGTCGTTCTCGTTCTCCCGCCGCCCCTGCTGCCGCTGCTCACCCTCGTCCTCCTCCTCCCGTGCCCCCCCCCCTCCGGCAGTTGCCCGTGCCTCCCGACGACGCTGCGAGCCCGACGCCGTGCTCGAGTGCTCCGACGAGTCCGCGGCCGATGCGCCGCCGTGGGATCGGCGGCTGGACCGCCTGAGGATCTGGGGGCAACGCCAGGTGGTGGGGGTGGCTTCGGGGGGGGGGGGGGGGGGGCATCGACCCGAGATCGCCCAATCGCCACTGATCGCCGATTCCAGGTCGATGTCCCCCCCCCCCTGAGGCCAGCCCCCCCCGAGCGTTCCCCCTCAGAGGAGTGTCTTCCCCGACTGCGGCGCCGCCGTGCCCGGCAGGCCAGGGCGCCGTCGCGCGGGGGGCCCCCGCAGCGGGCGCGCCGGGCAGGGCGCTGCGGCCGCCGAGCTGCCGGCGGACACGAGGCGGCGCGCGCGTGCCCAGCGGGCGCGCGGGCGCTGGTGCGGAAGCTCGCGGCGGGCGCCCGGTGCCTCCAAGGGCGACGGCGGCCGCTTCGTCGACGCGGAGGTGGAGCTCGTGCTAGCAGGCGTGAGGGTCCAGCAGGCCCAGGCCGTGCTGTGGGCCAGGCAGCTGGCGCGGAGGAGGCGCAGGCGGGTGCATTTCGGCCCCGAGGCGGTACTGGAGATCGAGCCAGCGGAGGGCCCTGCCGATGGGCCCCTGAAGGGCATCGAGTGTGACCTGTGCGGGCGGCGCCGCGCGAGGAGTAGCATGAAGGCGATCCTCTGCTTCGACTCCCTCCATGCCGTCGTGGTGAAGTTGCCGACGTGGCTGTGCCGCGAGCCGTGTTGCCCGCCGTGCCAGCCTGGCGCAGAGGAGGTCCCCCTCAAGCAGCCCCAGGCCTCTCGCTCGCAGGCAAGGGCCATCTCGTTCGCAGACGCCGCGGAGGCGGCAGACTCTGGGTGCCACGGACCCGCTGGCTCTGACGACTTGGACGGTCAGGACTCCGTGCTGCTGAGTTGGGCGGCGGGTGCGGCATCTGGCACAGGATTGCTCAGGCAGTGTGGGCATTCTTCGCAGCTTGCGGAACACCTGACTGCGTGTGGCGACCCAAGGACGAGGGAGGAGTGGTGCGCAAGCTTCGCCAACGACATCTGCGAGTTGGTGGATGCCGTGTGCGACTATGGAGAGTGTGGTCCAGAAGCTGCCAGACGACTGGCAAACGGCCTGGCTAGACTCCGCCTCGAGCGCGGCGCGGTCGCCTCAGGGCTGCTGGTTGCAGCCGTGTCCGAGCTCCCGAGTCCCCCCTCAGCGGCAGCCGTCTGAGCTGAGGGCAACGCCGACTGCGTGCAGGTGGGGCTCTCCGGCCGAGTGAGCTCGCGGGGCTCCCTCCTCGGCGGCTATGTCTAAGTCGGTCTTGTCCCTCTCAAGAAGGAGTATTCAATAATAGGCAAAATATATTCAGTTTTTTTGTTGTTTTTTGTTTTGTTCCACCATTTTGAAGTATTCGTTCGAACCATTTTTGAGTTTTCGCTCAAGGTTTCCCCGTATGGGGGACACGCCCGACCTAAGGCTCTGTGTAAGAGCGACCCTTCGCGGGAGCGACCTTTCTGGTGTGCGCCCACGCGGGGCCCCCCCCGGCGCTGGCCTGCGCGCCTGGACCTGGCCCCTCCCCCCCCCCACGGGTCCCGAACGCCGCGCGCCACGGCTCACTCCTGCCCGGGGTCACTTTCGCGTGTGGCCGATCGCCTGCCTCGCCTGGGGGGTCTCTCCGAAGGGCTTAGGCGACCCGTCCTCCTCCTCCTCCTCCTCCTCCTCCTGCTCCTGCTCCTCCTCCTCCTCCTCCTCCTCCGTCCTCCTCCCTCCTCCTCCGTCCTCCTCCTCCTCCTCCTCCTCCTCCTCCTCCCGTAGCCATTTTAGCTCAAGATGTTTGTTCCACAGGGGAACACGTGGATACCGCTAGTCGCGGCTTGCTTCCGTTTCTCGGCCTGTTCGCCCAGGCCTGGATCGCCTTGGCGGGCGAGGGTAAACTGTGGAGTTTCCAGTTCCCTTGTCCGCCAAGGCGGATGCCCTGGACTTGGTCTTCTGCGACGAGGACCCCTCTGGGGCGCAAGCATGAACGGGATGATGACGGTGATCGTTCTCGTCGTGTTCGGCATCGTGATGATCATGGTGGATTGCGCCATCGCAGGCGCAAGCAGGGGCAGTACAACGTTTGCGCGTCCTGCAATCATTGGGAGTACACCAATCGATGACATGACACGTGCTCGAAGTGCGGGTGGAGCCTACGTCGATCGAGGTGCTGCTGGTGGAGGTGGACGTGGTGCCCCTGCTGCCGCCCATGCTGCACCCACGCCTGACCCCCATGCTGAGCAGCTGCGTGCCGCCGCGGCTACTTTTTGGCGGCGCGTCCTGATCTTCAAGGTTCCCTCGGCGATCTGGTGGCGCCGCCTGCGCCCCCTGCTGTGATTCTCACCCCATCGCAGCTCGACGCTGCGGCGCACATCGAGCGGACCCGCCTGGCCAACGTGGTGGAGGGTGCGGCCCGACAGGTTCGGCTGGCGTGCCAGGAGGTTGAGCAGAAACGCACTAAGACCCAGGAGATCCGCGACCAGCTCGAGGAGGCTCGCGAGGCCCTGCTAGCTGCCGAGGGGGCGCAGCGCGGCGCCCAGCAGGCCCAGCGCGACGCCGACATGGCCATGCAGTCCTTCGACCCTGAGGTTTGGGAGGAGGCCGAGGCAGCGGGGGCGCGCGAGGCCGAGCCGAGCGCCTGGGCCAGCAGTGGGTTGCGCCCCCTGCTGCTGCAGGCGCGGCGCGCGCGGCCGCCGAGCCCGCTGGAGTTCCTCGTGCTGCTGGCGGTGCTGGTGGCGGAGCCGCCTGACTTCGCCGCCAAGTCGGCGGACGTGCTCGCGGCCTGGGCACGTGGTCACCACGTGCCTGCAGGACAGTGGGGGGCGTTCGTGGCCATGCGCGCCGCCGTCCAGAGTGCTGGAGATGATGCTGGTAGTGATGCTGGCAGTGACGCAGGCGGCAGTGACGCAGGAGCTGGTGATGATGAGCCGCGCGCCTTTCGGATGCGCGGGCGGGGGCAGATCCTCTCTGCGGAGGGCCAGCAGCGCATGGAGACCCTCATCATGGCCCGCGCCAAGAACCGGACTGCCAAGCGCCTGCGCACCACCAAGGCGCAGATCAACGAGCCCTTCGCTGAGTTGCTCAAGCAGGCTGCTTCTGTCCCAGTGCCTGGAGGGCGCTCTCTTTAGCATGCTTCGGGGTGCGGGGTTTCTGAAGCCCGAGTGCGTGAGTGCGCCCTGTTGGGGCTTCGAGGCTCAGGCGGAGGTGTTGTGGAGGAAGTGGCGGTCGTGAGGCCCGTGCGTGGGCCCTCCGAGTGCCGCGGGCCCCCGTTCGGGGGCTGCCGTCGGCGCGAGGAGTGGAAATCGCGCCGCTGCTTCGCGCGGTGTTGGCGGGATCTGCTGCCGCGGGGGTGGGTGGTGGGGTGGGTGGGGTGGGGTGGTGGGGGAGGAGCTCGGCGAGCGCCCTAGGGCCGCCCCTCCAGGGCAACCGTGCACGCGCTGCCTGCCCCCTGTTTGCCGAGAAGATGCTGACGAGAAGCGTCCAGGTGTCCAGTTGGTGTACTGCAGCATCGCGTCATGGTCGAGGGTCGCTCATGACTTTGCTTCTGGCCTCTCGGGCCGCTCCGATGCCTTTCTCTTTTTCGGGCGCCGCCTGCAGCGGAGTGCATTGCCTCGTGCCGAGAGGGAGATCGCCGCGATGGGCTGGGGGCCGCGTCTGCAGGCGGGCGTTCCAACTGGGGGCGGTGGGGCGCGCGGGGGTGTCGGGGTTGCGGTGGGGAATCGCCTGTGCTTCGAAGCGTTTCCTGGCCCATATGGGCAATGTTCCCTATGTCGGTTCGGGCCCAGGATGGATGTTTTTAGAGCTGGAAGCCCAGCAGGTCGTGATAGCTGTTGGGGTATGTTATTATGTCTCGTGCCTGGGAGTCGCGGGGGGGGGGGGGGGGGGGGCCTGTCCAGCGCGCGGGGTATTGGCGAGTTCTGCGTTCTTGGGATTCCCTGGGTGCTGGCCGGGGGCTTCAATATTGATGTTGCAGCGATGTGGCTCTCTGGGTGCCCCCAGCGTGTGCGTGCTCGGGCGATGGCGCCGGTGGGGTTTGACTTCGCATGCTTGCGAGAGTCAGTTGCTATGATTGACTGCGCGTTGGTTTCCCAGGATCCGGCCCCCTATGTGCAAGCTGCATTCTAGAGCCCTCGCCATCCAAAACGCACAGGTGTCTGTCAGCCCCTATTGCCGGCCGTGTCTTGGTTCGGAAGTTATGTCGGCGAGTGCGTCCGCGTGGTTGTCCAGCTGGCCGTGGACCTGGCCTTCCTTGGCGGCGTTACCTCTTTCAGGGGATGCGTGCTGGCGGCGCAGGGATGAGGGCGGAGTGCCCCGCGCAGTTGGCGCGCCTCATGCCGCGTGCGAAGGCGCGCTTGGGTGCGCATGTTGCTGTGCAGTATTCCCTGTGGTCTCGTGCTACTGAGCGCGCGTTCCTCTCCCGTGCTTGTACTGCTACCGATAGTGTTGGTGAAGGGAAGCATGGAAGGGGGAGGTGCTGCTCTGCGTCTGGTCACGTCCACCATTGCTTATAACTTATATGGGAGGTATGGGGGCAGCCGATCGGAGTCCAATTCTCGCGTTCTGGTCGCGTTTCCCCCATTGGCTGTTTGAGCTTCGCACTGTTCTTCGACGAGGCTCCGCCGAGTGCCGAGTCCAATGCCTGGTCATGGGGGTGGTCACTCGGGCTGGCGAGTTATCGTCCGTCTTGCCTGCTGCTCAACCTGCCCCCTGGTGGGCCGATCGAGTCGCCCATCGGACTGTGGCAGACCCCGAGGTGGGGGGTCGCCTTGTTGAGATCACCGCTGAGGTTTTGAAGAGCGCCTGGGCTGAAGCTAAGGCGGCCGCCAGGAAGGGCCTGAAGGGCTGGCTCACCCGCCCGCCCCCCTTATGGGGCTCGATGGGGTCCACTCATGGCTTACGCGCGACAATCAGAATATTGATGGGTTTTCAAGTCTCCCAAAAGTGAGAAACAGTTGCCTGGGGAGATGATGGACCATCGGGCTCACTTGTGTGTGTGGGTGGGTGGGTGGGTGGGCGGGGGGGTCTTTTGACAGGTCTCGCATGAAGAGATAATGAGGTTGGGGGCCATGTCTAACCTCCGCGGTGTCTCTTTGGAGGCTGCTGAGGAACTCCCCCCATCGCGGCTCGGGACATTCATATGCGTAGTTTTTTCTCCGCCACTACTGCTGTGGGGGCTGACGGATGGAAGCCCCGAGCGGTCGCTGAGCTTCCATCCGAGGCGCTTGGTGCCCTGGCGTCTTTATACTCGCTGTGTGAACAGCGAATGGCCTGGCCTGAGCAGATCTTTCTCGGGCTCATTGCGCTGCCCCCAAGTCCCTGGTCGATGAGCGACCTATCTGCAAGCGCCCCACCCTTTGCCGTTTGTGCACTAAGATCAGAAGGGGCGGACATTGATCGGTGGCCCACCGAACGCGAACGCGTTGCCTTCTGGGACACGGCGGTCAGGGGATCGTCTGCCCTGAAGGCCACGTTGGTTCGTGAGTTCTACCATGAATGTGCGGTCCACGAGGGAACGGCGTCTGTTGCGCTCCATTGGGGCTTGAGGAAGTTTTTGTCGATACTGTTTGCCCGCGGTCGCTTATCCGACTGGCCCTTCCGGTTCATTACCCTACCGCCTGTTGTTCCTGGGTCTGTTGATCCACATGTCCCCGCGTATATTGGAGGTGGATGGCAGTGTGTCGCATATGTTGCAAACGGGTCGTGGGTTCCTGCCTGGATGTCCCTAGAGCATGTCTTGGGTGAAGATTTGCGTGTATGGGGCCCTTGCGGCCTGCTGGTATCAAATGAATGGTGAGCTTTCTAGGGTAGTGATCAGGGCCTATGTCGATGACATTGCCCAGAACATCGCTGGCCAGGAGCAGGAGCCCCAGGTGCACTTGCTGCCAGCTGCAGTTCGTTTCGCGCATGAGATTGAGCACCTTGGCCTGGCGCTGAGCACCAAGAGCGCTCTTGTTTGTTCCTCCAGAGCGGTGGGATCTCAACTCGTGTCTAGCCTCCAGGCTGTGGGTCTTCCAATACGTAGCCAGTTGCACACTCGGGATGCGGTTTCCTGTGCGACGGCAAGAAGCAGGCGGAGGGTCCCTGAGATCAAACGACGGAGGCTTGACGCGCGGCGACGCGCTGAGAAGGTTGCGGTGTTGTCACGAATTCTAAGGAGGCGTCCAAGCTTCTCAAACCTGGTGCGTTGTCGGTTG